TTCAAGTATTCTCTAGCTGGGGATGCGAGGAAATGGCTCCAGAATCTGCCACCCAACTCTATCCATTCTTGGCCCGAACTTGTCCGGGCATTTTTGTCCAAGTGGTTCTCGCAGAGCAAAAAGTCTGAGTTGCGGGATAAGATTTTCTTCTTCAAGCAGATACAGGGAGAGCAGTTGCATGAGGCATGGGATCGCTTCAAATTATACTTGGTGAGGTCTCCAAACCATGGTTTTCCGGATTCCATGTTGTTGGAAAAATTTTATATGGGTTTGGATCCCATGAACCAAGCCATCGCCAAGAATGCAACTGACGGATCTTTCATGGACAAATCATTTGCAAGAGTGACACAAATCCTGGACAAAATGGCAAAGCACAACCAAGAATGGCATTCAGAGGATACTACCAGAGGAATCTCATATGGCTCTGCTTCCTTGAGCAACTTAATCAAGGAAAATCAAGAGAGGTATCAAGTGATTGTGGCTTGCAAGAAATGTAAATGTGCTGACAAAGATGTTTACCGAGAATCAGACAAAGAAAGTGAATGCAGTGGAAGATGTCCAACCCATCTTAGATGAAAATTTTGAGGAAGAAAATTATATCAACAACCCTCAAGGAGGGTATCAAAGGTAACCCTACCATGGTCAAGGGCAACAAAGCCAGTGGAGGCCAAACCCGCAAGGGCAAGGCAACCAACAATGGAGAAATGATCAAGGTAACTCGCATCAAGGAAATTGGAACAACAACAACAACTTTGCAAGTCGGAGCTCCAACCCGTATGTTCCCACAAAAGGTCATTATGCAAATCAAGGGTTGTCAAGTGAGTCAAAGATAGAAAGCATGATTGAAAGAGTATTGCAAAACCAAGAAAAATCTGACGCGTCCATGAGAAACATGACCGAAGTTGTTGGCTCTCACACCACATCTATCCAAAAGTTAGAGATGCAAATGAGAGACCTTTCAAGAGAGCAAAACCCAAAGCAAAAAGGGCAACTTCCTAGTGATTCCATTGCGAACCCGAAGAGTGGTAGAAGTGGCTCAACTTCACACGTCATGGCAATAACTACTAGAAGTGGGAAGGTTTTACCAGGTGACATTGAGCAAGAGGTTGTTGGGGAAGAAGCCGAACAAGAAGTTGAAGCAGAAGAGCAAGGGGTTGTTGAAGTTGAAAGGGTGCCAGAAAAAGAGAAGGTGCAAGAAGTGAACAAAGAAGGTGAAGGAAAAGGAGAAGGAGACATCATAAGCTCCACCTCCTATTCCTAGACCTCCTCCGCCTTTTCCTCAAAGACTTATTAGAAGGGTTGATGATAGCAAGCTTGAGAAATTCTATGATATTCTAAAGCAATTGTCGGTGAACATTCCATTCTTGGAGGCTTTTCAAGAAATGCCGGGGTTTGCCAAATATTTGAAAGATTTGATCACCAAAAAGAGGACCACAAAGAATGATGTGGTAAACATGACTCACCGGGTTAGCTCTATTATTGCCACAAGCCTTGTCCAAAAGAAAGAGGACCCGAGAGCATTTACTATTCCATGCACTATCGGGGAGCGTGACTTTGCAAATGCCCTTTATGACAATGGGGCTAGCATCAACTTGATGCCACTTGCCATCTACAAGCAAGCGGGATTAGGGATGCCGAGGCCAACAAGCATGAGGTTACAAATGGCCGATCGATATATTAAGCGACCGGTAGGAATTGTTGATGATGTGATTGTGAAAGTTGGAAAATTCCATTTGCCCGCTGACTTTGTAATTTTTGACTGTGATGTTAATAAAGAGATCCTTATCATCTTGGGGAGACCATTCCTAGCCACGGGAAGAGCACTCATGGATTTGGAGCAAAATGAAATTAAGTTCCTGGTGAATGATGAAGAAGTCACATTTCAAGCGAGCAAGGGTATGAAATTACCCCATGAGTATTAGAGCATTTCAGTGATAGATGTGGTTGATGAGGTTGAAGATGCCGTCGAATTGAAATGGAAGAACAATGCCTTGGTGAGTCATTGGCGGCTATCTTGGTAAAGTTTGATGGTGAGGACATGGATGGGTACATGGAGTCGGTAAATGCATTAGAGGGTCTTGGATCCTATACTTACACTTCGGCAAAACTTTCTCTTGACTTGGAGAATAGGGCCACACCTCCCGCCAAGCTATCAATCATTGAGCCACCACAACTAGAGCTCAAGCCTCTCCCGCCGCACTTAAGGTATCAATTTCTTGGCTCTAATGATACTTTACCCGTAATCGTTTCGTCTTTGCTAAATGATGTGCAAGTAAACCAATTGTTGGAATTCTTGAAAGAACATAGGCAATCCATTGGATGGACCATTGCGGACATTCGTGGAATCCCCGCGGGAATTTGTGAACATAAAATCCAATTGGAGAGCGAAACAAAGCCAAGTATGGAACATCAAAGGCGGTTGAACCCGTCAATGCAAGAGGTAGTAAAGAAGGAGATTATCAAGTGGTTGGATGTCGGGGTAGTTTACCCCATTGCCGACAGTTTGTGGGTGAGCCCATTACAATGTGTGCCACAAAAGGGTGGCATGACCATGATCGAAAATGAGAAGAATGAGCTCATTCCAACGTGAATTGTGACCGGATGGCGAGTTTGTATGGACTATCGGAAACTTAACAGTGCTACTTGCAATGACCACTTCCCTATGCCTTTTATTGATCAAATGCTTGATCGGCTAGCGGGGAGGTCATTTTATTGTTTCCTTGATGGTTACTCTGGCTACAATCAAATCAACATCGCTTTGGATGATCAAGAGAAAACTACATTCACTTTCCCATATGGCACTTTTTCTTTTAGCCGAATGTCATTTGGCTTGTGCAATGCTCCGGCCACTTTCCAAAGGTGTATGATGTACATCTTCTCCGACATGGTTGAGGACTTTCATGAAGTCTTCATGGATGATTTCTCGGTGGTTGGTGATTCGTTTGAGCACTGTCTTAATAATCTTAGAAAAGTGCTTAAGCGATGCGAAGAGACCAACCTTGTGCTAAATTGGGAGAAGTGTCACTTCATGGTTGACGAAGGCATTGTGCTTGGGCACAAAATTTCAAAGCATGGTATTGAAGTCGACCGGGCAAAGATTGAGATTATTTCTAAGCTTCCTCCACCGACCTCCGTGAAAGGTGTTAGAAGTTTTCTAGGGCATGCAGGGTTTTACAGGCACTTCATCAAGGACTTCTCCAATATTGATAACCCCATGTGCAAACTCCTCGAAAAGGATGCCAAGTTTGTGTTTGGTGAGAACTGTCTTAAAGCTTTTGAGGAGTTAAAGCAAAGGATCACCACGGCACCCATTATTGTCACGCCCGATTGGTCACTTCCTTTTGAGCTCATGTGTGATGCCAGTGGTGTAGCCATTTGAGCAATGCTTGGCCAACGTCACAACAAAGTTCTCCACCCGGTGTACTATGCAAGTAAAATTCTCAATGGGGCACAAATGAACTACACGGTAACTGAGCAAGAGCTTCTTGCTATTGTGTATGCTTTTGAAAAATTCCGGGCTTATTTGTTGGGGTCCAAGGTGGTGGTATACACTGATCATGCGGCTCTTCGATATCTCATGGCAAAGAAGGATGCAAAGCCTCGATTAATTCGATGGGTCTTGTTGTTGCAAGAATTTGACTTCGAAGTCAAAGATCACAAGGGAANAATATCTCATGGCAAAGAAGGATGCAAAGACTAGATTAATTCGATGGGTCTTGTTGTTGCAAGAATTTGACTTCGAAGTCAAAGATCACAAGGGAACTCAAAATCAAGTGGCGGATCATTTGTCAAGGCTTGAGGAAGCAGGGAGACCACAGGGAGATCTTGAAATCAACGATGCATTCCCTGATGAGCACATATTGGCATTATCTAGAACTTTTGCTACTTGGTATGCCGATATTGCTAATTACTTGGTTAGTGACCTTATCCCGGACGGATTGGAATCTTATCAAAGAAAGAAGTTTTTGAGAGACTGCCAGCAATACTATTTGGAGGAACCATACTTGTTCCGTGTTTGTGCTGACAATATTATCAGAAGGTGTGTTCCCGAAGAAGAGGTTATGCCAATTCTCAAGGCATGCCATGACTCACCGGTTGGGGGTCATCATGGAGGAAATCGGACGGCGGCTAAAGTTCTTGAATGTGGGTATTATTGGCCTTCCATCTACCATGATTCCAATCAAATGGTCAAGGATTGCGACCAATGTCAATGACAAGGTTCAATCTCCAAGAGGCATGAAATGCCAATGCACTTTGTGATGGAGATAGAGATCTTTAACGTGTAGGGAATCGACTTCATAGGCCCCTTTGTAAGTTCTTGAGGGATGAAATACATCTTGGTAGTTGTGGACTACATGTCCAAATGGGTTGAAGTAGTTGCCTTACCAAACAATGAGGCAAGTATTGTGACCACCTTCTTGAAGAAAAACATATTCACTCGGTTTGGCACTCCTAGATCCATCCTTAGTGACGGTGGATCTCATTTTTGTAACAAGGCATTCTCGGGGCTGCTTGAGAAGTATGGCATAAAGCACAAGGTGGCCACACCTTATCATCCGCAGTCAAGTGGTCAAGTTGAGGTTTCCAACCGGGAGATCAAGAGCATTCTAGCAAAACCTATGAACGCAAATAGGACCGATTGTCCAAAGAAGATAGATGATGCATTGTGGGCATACCGCACGGCCTACAAAACCCCTATTGGTACTTCTCCTTATCGGCTAGTCTTTGGTAAATCATGTCATCTACCCGTGGAATTGGAACACAAAGCTATGTGGGTGTTGAAAAGGCTGAACTTAGATTGGGCTAAAGCTGCAAATTTGAGGTTACACAACTCAATGAAATGGAGGAATTCCGGTTCCATGCTTATGAAAGTGCAGCTGTGTACAAAGAACGGATAAAGTTTGTCCATGACAAGAAGATCTTGAAAAAAGAGTTCAAGACGGGTGATTTGGTCTTGCTCTTTAACTCAAGGATCAAATTGTTTTCGGGCAAGCTTAAATCAAAATGGTCCGGTCCATTCAAAGTGGTCAATGCCTCTCCTTATGGAGCGGTGGAATTAGAATCAACAGATGGGTCCCGGACATTCAAGGTAAATGGCCAACGTATCAAGCACTACTTGGGCACTGATGGAGAAAAACATTTGGTGGAGTAGCTGGCTCTCAAAGATGGTCCATGCCCGACCATTGAGTGAAACCAAAGGAACATCAACTTCGTCGTGACGCGACGTTAAATCAAGCACTTCATGGGACGCAACCCATGTGTGGTAACACTCTTTTGTTCTATGAATTTTTAGTTTTTGATAGATAGATTTATTTGAGCTATGTAAAGTGTGTGTCAGAGTGCATGGGGTTCAAAAGATCACAACAATTGGTACGAATGCATAAAACGTGGAAGAAAAACCACTAGGTGAATTCTGCTGCACAAATGCGGTCGCATTTTAGCTATGCGGACCGCACTCTGACCGCAAACTTAAGTGGAGATTTGGATTAAAATTGTGGTTGAAAATGCGGTGAGGTGGTGCATTATGCGGTCCGCATTTAATTTATGTGACCGCATTTTGCACCGCATTTGCCTCCCTTCAGCTTGGTCCTTAACCTCATCGCATAACACACATGCGGTCGCACTGTGTGTTATGCGGTGTCCTATCCATCGCAGAATCAACAAGGTAAGTCCGCATAACCCTCTCGTCTCTCACTCACTTAAAACAAAACAAAAAAAAAAGTGGGAAGAACACGAACGGACTTCGAACCAAATCAAGCTCAAATTGTGTGCAACCAAAGGACTCTATTTGTCACACTCATTGTCCCAATCATCAAATTCTGCTGGTATGTACCCGTTTCTCCCCCGTTTTATCTTTGATTTCCACTGTAGGTTTAGAGATTTTTCGTTTAAATCCTGTGCAAAAATGTGTTTAGATGCTTGTGTAGTTGCTTCTCTGTAGTGTAGATACTTTTGGGTTGAAATAATTTGGGGTACGGGGTAGAATGAAATAGGACCGCCATTGTTGAAAGCTTGGCTGACCTGTGTAGAAGAAGGCATCTGCGGCCCGCATTGTGAAAATGCGGTCCGCATTTTGGCCGCACAACTAAACCCTAAATCTTCTGAAGAAGATGATGAAATGCGGTGTCTTTGCGATCGCAGATTTGACATGCGGACCGCAAATTCACCGCAGAGTGATACAGAGATTTTAGTTTTGAACCATATAGCCATGTCAATTCGGCGATGGTTATGCGGTCCGCATAGTGGTTATGCGACCGCATAACTCACCGCAAAATGAGACCACCAGTTGAGACTACAAGATCTGTGACAAGTCTGCGGTCCGCATTTTGGTTTTGTGATCGCAGACCAGATCGCATTTTCTTTCTTGCTTTTGATTCATCTGTATCTTCTCCGTATTGTTAATGATGTCACTCACTCTTCACCATTATGCATATATGGGTCAAAAGAGATGCTCATCCTCTACAACAAGGCAAGCTTCCACCAGTAAGCGATTGAGGATAGAGGACAACGTGCCGAGCCCCTCCCAATTTGAGGTGGAGGAGATCAGGCCCTCAATCAATATAGAGGCTGAAGAGAGAAGGAAATGAGGTGAAGAATTCCAGCTCCTATTTGGGGTTGATGGGTCCAAGGAGGTATTTAGAAAAGGCCTCACAAAGCGCAAAATCCTGGGCGAGAAACAATTGAGCTTGAACGGACTCAAAGACAAATACCCCCATATCCTGGAAAACATAAAAACACGGAGATGGGAGAACTTTACTGAGCCACCCACGGAGTACAATGAGACCCTTGTGAGGGAATTCTATGCATCCTATGGGGCCTCCAGGACGAAATACCACAAACGCAACAAAGTTTTCACCGACCAAGTGCTTGTCCAAGGAAAGACTATTTTCTGCAACACTGAGGCCCTTAATGAGTTCTACGT